TTTTTAAATTTCCTACGCAGTACGTACGTACATGTCGCATTGGGGTGGTTGGTATACTTTGTAAATCAAAATTGTACGTAGTTATATAATAGAATTTACCAATGAAGATTTATAGATAGGTAATAATTTTATAGCGATAATAATTATTGCAAATTTTAGATAGATGCACAGCCCTAACGGTTCGATAGTTTTGAATAAAATTTTGCAAGAACCAGCACTACATCTCTACAAACAAAGTTATAGAGCTATTTCTTTAAAAAATAAACTAATTCTTCTTGCTTTTTTTAAGAAAGAAAACATAGCGTAATAAAACTTTTCATGTTTAACTAAATAAAATAGCTCTATAACTTTGTTTGTAAAGACGTAATACTGGTTTTTGCAAAATTTTATTCAAAACTATCAAGCCGTTAGGGCTGTGCATCCATTTAAGAATTTGCAATAATTATTATAAAATTATTACTTATGCGTATCTAAAATTTTCATTAATAAATTTATTATACGTATAACTACATATAGGTTTGATATTATTTGTTGAAAAATCCTAATGTGAGGCGCGCGTCATTTCGGGGCGCTATTTTTTTTTGGGACACGATTTTCTAAATAACGCCCACACCCGTTATTTCGGTATTTGTACATGTCGATCTATACTGGTGCATTATAATTTAACCTAATACACTTATGTTAATGAAGTATACATTTCGAAATATATATATATATATCAATTTTCAATTTTGCATCACCTGAAAGAAAATTTTTAAATCCATATCGATATCAATATTGCTTAATTAAATAAATCCATGTGATTTTTCGATTTACCCCAAATAAAAATTTAAACTTTATAATCTAACCATTTTTACCATTTTTAATACTTAAATTGTAAGACAGGGGTGGAATCGGTATGATGCATCTTAATTTAAATCCGGTTTATAGCTGTTTTCATAATTTCTAACCGATCACATGTGTAGATATGGTGATCGGATCAAAATTTTTTTGATTTTCATATGATCGATCGAATAGGATGATTAATGCATTCGATTTCTCTCTAGAACGTATTGGCAAAAAATTTAGTGAACAATAAGATTGAGTAATTAGTTATTGTATGATCGATTATAATCTCTACACATGTGAAATATACTATGTAAATCAAAATTATATGTGGTCATATAATAAAATTTATTAATGAAGATTTTTAGACAATCGATAATTTTATAACAATACGAAAATTTGAATAGATGTACAGCTCTAACGGTTCGATAGACTTAGTCAAAATTTTGCAAAGACCAGTATTACATCTCTATAAACAAAGTTACAGAGCCATTTCTTGAAAAAGAAACTAATTCCTTTCTTTCTTGCCTTTTTTTCAAGGAAAAAAATTAGTATATTAAATTTTTTCATAATTAAGTAAAAGAAATGGCTCTGTAACTTTGTTTGTAGATATGTAATACTGGTCTTTGCAAAATTTCGACTAAATCTATCGAACCGTTAGAGCTGTGCAACTATCAAACTTCGTATTAATTGTTATAAAATTATCGCTTGTCTAAAAATCTTCATTAATAAATTTTATTATATGACCACATATGGTTTTGATTTACATAGTATACTTCGTACCCCAATGTTCTACAGATCGTTAGAATGTCAATATACTCAATATTATTCAATTTTTCGTATCAGCATGTTTGATGTGTTTAGTTTGTATGAAAATTTATAGAAGTGTAGCTCTTATCAACCAATGAATCTTAGCAAGAAACATTAAAAAGGTTTTAGATATAAATTAAACTTCATAATAAACATATTACACGAATTTGTGCAAATATAAAAAAAAAAAGTGTATTTAAAAATAAATATTATTTTTTGTTTGTATACCGGGTTGGTGAAAAGTAACTGAACAGTGCCCTTTTTTTAATCACCATGATTATCATTTTAACGTTTAGTAATCTATTAAAATTATTACAATTTTTAATTTATTACAATTGATTACTAAACGTTAAAATGATAATCATAGTGATTAAAAAAGGTCACTGTTCAGTTACTTTTCACCAACCCGGTATATATGTTGTGCCTTGTATTCTTGCGTCGAGTGCAATCCGACGCACCTCAGATGGTGACGCGCGTAACTTGTCTATTGGTCATCTGAGGTGCGTAAGTTGCAATTTGGGATGCGTGAATTGTAAACTGACGCACGATTCAACAACTAAGTTGAATGCGATAAGAAATTAGTGGGTACTATGAACTAAGCCAGCGTTGATTGATTGATTGCAAGAGATGTAGAGCCAACAGAAATGAAAAAGGAATATGGCTAATATGGCTAACGTCAAAAACTAAGCCGAAAAAAAAAAAATAAAGCAAAAGGCTTTTTTTATGCTCTTATCTGTAATAACGTTATTGCTCTTCGTTAAAAAAAAACCTCTTACAAACTGATCTTAAAGATGATCTTGCGTCAGATTATAGCTTACGCATCTCAGATGACCTATCTGAAGTAGAGTTGGCTCCGAAACCCTTTGTGCTAAAATCCGAAAGTTTCGGGTTTCGGATTATAGCTTCCGAAACCCCGAAACTTTATCCAAAACCCGAAACCTCATCCGAAACCCCGAAACTGCAAAACATTAATTTTCATATACTATTAGGCTATGCAGACAAATAAAATTGCTTTTTATTATTTGGCCGAGTAACTTTTTTAAAAAGTTATAGCTGTTTTCATAAATTTTGAGACAACAAAAAATTTATAATAGCCGAACTTAGAAACTTATCGAATTCGGTTATTAGAAATTTTTTATTATTCTAGAACTTAGGCCATACAAACTTAATTAATTGGTTCTCATAACCCGGCCGGGTCAAATTCAACAAAAGTTTGAAAAAATTTTTTTACTATATTTATTATCCGGGTGAACTTTTTTAAATTTTTGTAAAAAAATTTTATATGTTTTTTACATATAAAATTTTTTGAAAAAGCCGGGTTGCCGGGCCATTTTAAAAATTTTATGTTATGAGAACCAAAAAAATAATTTTAGATGGCCTTATAAGAATAGCTGTAAAATTTTTTTAAATAAAATTTTTATTTTATATAAAAAAAATTTATAAAAATTTTTTAAATTAATTTATTTATAGCTATAGTTTACATGTAGCTATACTATCAAATATAGTTTTTTATAAAAAAATTTTGTAGCTATTAATATTAAGGTTAGAGTTAGATTAGAGTTAAGTTAGGGTTTAGTTAGGGTTAGGTTAGGGTTAGGGTTTAATTAGGATTAGATTAGGGTTAGGATTTGGGGTTAGGTTAAAATTGTTATTAAAACATTTTTACTTAATTAGATTACCTTAGTAAATTTTAAGTTATTGAATATTGCTAAAAATCGTAATTGCTTAGATTTAATATTATACTTAATTATGCATTCTGATTGGTTAACTAGGGTTTCGGGGTTTCGGATTATAGTTTCGGGAGTTTCGGGTTTCGGGGTTTCGATTTTTTTTTAAAAATCCGAAACTAGTTTCGGATTAGAACCTAGTTTCGGGTAGGTTCGTTTCGAGGCCAACTCTAATCTGAAGTGCATCGGATTGCATCCGACGCAAAAATGCATCAGAGGCACAACATATATAGCTAATATACAGCTCTTCAAATTATTACAAGACTAATTTTACGTCTAACAAAAGTTCCATCTCTAATTGCAACTTATATAAATACCAATTGTATTTTTACCATTAAAGTTTTATATCATTCGGGTTTAGTAACGCGTTTTTCCTTATATCTATATATTGAAAGTGTTTGAGAACCCGTTTATAGAAATTCTACTAATACCTAAGTGCTTAACAATTTTTCGAGCTGATAACCCTTCCAAATTTTCTTCAATTGCTGTAGAAAATGCTTTAAAGCATCATATTTTCGTATTAAACCAGAGTTATACAGTATACTAAAGTCTTGTAATATTTACATTATCCACCGAATCTTAAATTATATTATCCGCCGAATCTTAAATTATATATATCAATTTGAATCTATTATACCAAAATCACTAATTTAACCGAATCGCCGAAAAATCACTCGCAGATTTATAAAAACAGCTGTAACTGACTTGAACAAAATCGATTTTAATAAAACCGGGTTATTTGGGAAATTCGAATTTAACAAACCGGTTGAAAAAATTCGAATTTACAGTTTTTAATATTAAAAATTACAAATATGAACAACTTTATATAAAGCATGATTTATTTAAAATTTTGATTTTTATGTGTGACATGATTATTGAATTAATAGCAATAGCATTTAGTATTAGATTAGCAAATGACTTGGTCATTATTCGGCTATCATTGTCCTATGAGACTTGATAATGATAAGATACGTATACATTATTCCCAGATTCATGGGCAAAATTATTACATATTCTTACTTAATAAATCTCGGTTATTCATGGTCGTTATCATGTGATTAAGTGTTTAAAGTAATAAATACTTAATATTAATTAAGTAAAGGATAAATGATAAGTAATTCTTACAAAATTATTTTACCCTATCGCCCAGATCTCAGATTCGGGCTAATCCAGAGTCTTATATATATAATGAATGAGTTACTAACGATATGTAAAAGTTAAGAAAAAAGGGTGAAGTGGAAAAATTCGCAAGCACAAATTGTCGTAAACCACCGTTATTGTATTCTATACATCTTTATCCGGCAGCGAATTTAATATGTATCATTCATTTCTGGGCCCTTTCAGCCCACAGAAGCTGGTATATTAAATTCACAGCCAAATAATGACAAATAATTCTCGTTATTGGCCGCTTCGCATCCAATAACTATATATTATTCACAAAGTGGACATATCCAAAGATCTTATTACTCACTTTGTTAACAATGACTACAAATCAACCAATTAATTTCTGTGATACAATAGATCGCTTATTTATATTGTCAATTTAAGGTTTTACCGGAGAAAAAATTTCCGAAAACTTTTCTTCATACGTATAGATATAATAAACTCGCAGGGAAAATGGTGTCTATGCTATCGCTAATGAAAAAATTGTTTTTTTTGTCCCCTTCATATTGTATTGTTTTCTTTTTATCTTGGTTCGGCCTTGGCGCGACGCCAATTCCGATAGCTCCCTTTTTTAACCTCCCGCTAATATTAGTTCTTGTCAGAACGAAACCTTTAGGCGTAAACCTTATACCTCTATTTCTTACTATTGCACTTGGTGCCGGACTTGCTTATCACGAACCTACGTCACCATTTGGAAATTATTTTGATGACTTAAAAGTTCTAGTAATGGTTGGATGTGTGATTTCAGCTTTTACACTATTTCCTATGGTTACGCATAGGTTCATATTAAATTATACAGATATAAAAGAACCCATAGGTAGCAACAGCTGGTATCACAGTTGGCTCATATTTCCGTTGCTTTGGACAGCAACATGGTCTCTAATTCGCAGGTATTCTCCTTTAGGATCGTGGGGCGATTGGGCTTACACAATTTATAATTGGGGATATACTGGTGACCCACTGATGCAAATGGCAAGCTTAGTATCATAAATTTATTTCTTGCATTGTTTGCTCAATTCATTGCAGATTATATGATATATAATCATAGAATTAAAAGATTTAACTTTCAACAGAATGATACAGAAGAAACACCTTTATTAGACAACAGATCGTCAAATGATCGAATTAAAAAGGTGTTAGAATATAACTGGTACTTAATGTTCGCATTCGGCATTCTATTTCTGGCTTTGTTCGTTGGTGGGTCATATAGACTTCAACAAATAGAAGATAACAATGAGCCATTGAAAACAATGCCGATTGGTTGTGTTTTACCAACTCGTGACGTTTCGATAGATGATTTACTTAAAAGCTCAGACACACTTGCAACCAATCATAATAGTAAAATCGTACTTTGGTCAGAATCAGCAATTAGCATTCGAAACCAAAAAGAATTTAATGATATGATGGATAAAGCAAAGAATAAGACTAAAGAAAAACATTTTTTCCTTGGTTTGACTTATACTATTGGAGACGATGTAAACATGCATAAGAAAAAAAACATGTTAACATTAATGGGACCCGATGGCAAAGTAATTTTTAATTATCAAAAAGTTAATCCAGTTCCGTTAGTAGAATCATATTATATTGAAGGTGGACAAAATGATCCACCTGTTGAAAACATTACGACTCCTAAAACTAAACTTGACCGTGATCCAGTAAGCATTGAAGTTAGCGGGGCAATATGTTTGGACATGGACTTCCCAGAACTACTCGGAAAGGCTGCAAAAGCATATCTCGTACTATCACCAGCACGGACATGGTCCGCACACATTGGTCTCCACCATCTCCGAATGGCATCGGTTCGTGCAATTGAAAACGGGTATTGGATTCTAAGATGCGATGGGGGTGGTGCATCGGGTCTTATTGACCCTCTAGGCCGCGTTCGTCACGTAGAAATATCCCCGAACACGAAGAATATGCAATTATTCAGTTGGGATATCCCTGTTGAGGAGCCTAAAATTAAAACTATTTATGCAGAATGGGGGGAATGGTCGATTTGGGGAACCCTAGCCTTCCTTGGAGTACTGAGATTAGGTTGGATAGCCGCCTGGGAGGCATCCCCTTACCAGATGGGGAGAACGTGGGATGATGGAGTTAGAAAATTTAAAAATGGACGGAAATGGATTGAGTATAAATATAATGAAATGTTTGAAAATGAACGGATGAATTTATTAGTGTAGTCGAATAGTATTCGTTTTTAATATTTGTTTATATATAGTTCATATTACATTTTTTTACAATGTGTATACCATATCAAAATTAACATTAAATATATCATTCAAGAGCTTGTGTCCTGGGTAGGGTGTCCGGGATTATGCTACTAGCATAATTTAGCATAATTCAAGTTTACTAGTATAATTATGCTAGCAGCAGAATTTAGCATAATTTATATTTGCTAGCATAAAATTTAGCATATTTTCAGATCAAGACCCAAATTCAGCATCAACCGTGACATTATTTTTTTAAAAAAACGGTTTAAAGAAGTTATTAGCATAAAAAGCATAATTTAGCATCTTTAGCAGCATAATTCTGGAAACCCTAGTCCTGGGTTTTTCAGGATATTAACTATTGTGCTGTCGATAATCGCTGATTTACATAGCAGTTACACGTTTTTGTCACTTCTAATATAAAATTATATATAATAAAAACAAAATTACTATAAACTTTAAGGACTAGATTATTCTCAACTTTCATATTATCTTATTATCAAATTTTGCAATAAAATAGGTCGAAAAAAGTAGAATAAAGCTATTATGAATGCCGATTTAAAATCGTATAATTTGAATATGTAACTTCAAAAATAAATATTTATCGATTTTAAGAAATAATTATGTAAAAGTTTGCTCTGAACAAGTTTACTTAGAGAACAAAATTAGGCTACCTTGGTAGAAAAGAGAGTTGGCTATATGAAACTTACACGTATACACTTCGCCAAAATTCATTTTTATTTAGTGAAAAATTTGATTGAATTTTACGAGAAAAAAATATTTTTTAAAAAAATTTTTTAACATAAAATTCAATCGAATTTTGGTGAAGTGTACAGTATACGTGTAAAATTTCATTTCTAACAAGTTTACTTAAGAGACCAAGGCAGGTTAGTTATCTTAGTAAAAAAAAGTTGTATAAAAAAAAAAAATAAAAAAAAATTAATGTTTGTATATAGCCAATTTTTTTATTCTCTAAGTAAACTTATTCAGAGCAAACTTTCACATAAGGTGGACAGGGGTGATTTGGCGATTGTAGATATCTCGTGATTCCATGAAACAATTTTACCTTCATTTGATTCGTCTCAGTGATGATTCCTGACCAAATTTGGTGAAATATTTTTTACGAATCTGTAGAATTCAAATAAAAAAGGTAAATAGACCTTGAAGTTCTTATGCCAGCTCGAATGGTATAAAAATCGTTCATTGAGTCACGAGATATTTGATATCATATATTCGGACGCGGCATTATCTCGTGACCATTTTTGTACCAAATTATCTGTTTTCGATCACGGGATAATGAGATATCTGTAATTCGCCAAATTACCCTATCCGCCAAAGTACCCTCTTTCCAATTGTAAGAACTCATAACCCTGAGATCCGAAATTGAATGAATTTAGTGCCATTTGACTTGTCTCATCAAGACAATAATGAGTTATACGAGATTTTTTTACTAACTTCACCAATTACCTTCATCTTATAATTATTGTTTTAAAATCGATAAATATTTATTTTTGATAAAGTTACATATTCAAATTATATAATTTTTAATCGGCATTCATAGTATATAATTAGATTTATATAATCTCTAGCTTTGATTTTCTTAACAACTACTAAAATAAATTAGCTGAAATTTTACTGAAAGTAAATATAATTTTGGGTACAACATTAAAATTTTAGCTAATTTGAATTAATAGTTCTTGAGAAATTGCTTAAAAACTATATATAGCCCAATAATATTATAAATCAGGGTTGTATATACATTATTAATAAAGTGATTATACGCATTCACTAATTTTCACCCACCTTTTGCCGATCTTTTGCCGATCTGACCAATCAGAACACAAGATCAAGTGTAACGTGACAATCAAAACAACAAAAACTCGCCTAAGAAATCACTTTTTACGCACTAGCAAAAAAAATTCCTTGCAAAATTTTAGTATAATGTCACCTTCTAACCCGTCACTAACCCTAACCAAGATATCACATTTTAAAAAGAAGGTGACATGAAAATAATCCTAGCCAATCAGAAAGGTGGGTGAAAATTAGTAAAAACGTGATTATACGTATCGTTGTGATATGATTTGTTGATTTTTTTATCCAATGTCAGAATTTTTAATGCATCAGATGATTCTGGTCACTGTACTTTGAAAAAAAAAAAATTTCAGTCGCTATATCAATGCTCCAATATCAAAGGCTTACCACTTTTCGGTTCACATGTTCACAGCCATATAAACGCTTTACTGTTTCGCAACTGTTGCCACAAAGATCTTATGTAACGGATTATTCTTCAATAAAACCAGATATAAAGCTTCTGGCCAGACTACGTCAGGAAACTCAGATTAGTATCACAAAAGCCAAGGAAGCTTTGGTGAAACATAATAATGATTATGATAAGGCGACCGCATGGTTATTAGAAGATTCAAAGATTACCGGTGTAGCAAAAGCAGAGAAACTTAAAGGAAGAACTGCAAAGGAAGGTTTGATTGCAATCGTAACTTCAAAATTTGGAGAAAAATTTGGAAAACTTAAGGAGGGCGGTTTTATATTGGGCAATAGAGGTGCTATTGTTGAGGTTTGTGTACTTACCAACTTTTTACTTATTTTGACGCGTATTAAATGTCAAATAAAATTTGGTTAATTATATAAATCGCGTCAAATAAATTTATCAGATAAATTGCGAAACAGATTTTGTCTCACGTAACGCATTATTTCAACAATTTGCTACACGAATAGCATCAACATCATTACTATTTCCGACGCAATCAACGCCTGAGTTTTCAAATCTAACGGCAAAAATCGTACCGATCCCCCTTGAGTATTTATCTCCATCTCCATTACTTCTACATCCTTCCACAACATCAACTACAATTGATCATTCACAACCTATATCAGTTAAAGATTCTTTAACAGAATTAATTGGAAAATTAGGTGAAAATATTAGCATACGTAGAGTTGAAACTGTGAATTTCGGTATTGAAAAATTATCATCGAGAATCGCGAATGATGAAGGCTTGGTAGTGATAACAGGTGGATATGTGCATGGTGGTAACGATGCATACACAGGAAAAATTGGTGCGCTGGTAGTTCTTGAAGTTAGAGGAGTGAACCAAAAAAATAAAATACTACAAAGAGGACAATTGAATTATTCACAATCAATAGTCGATGTTCTTTCAAAATTTACTCGTGATTTAGCAAGGCAAGTTGTCGGTTTTAATCCAAAATATATCTCTTATGATCATGTTAGACTGCTTGAACCAGGTAGACTGAAAGGTTTAACGGTAACAGGAGAAATTGATGATTCTTTTAAAGATTTCATATTGACAGAACAAGATTTTATTGCGGCTAAAAATCAAATAACAGTTGGGCAACAGATAAAAAAATTGAAAAATGACTTCTATATCGAAATAAAAATTTTAGAGTTTAAAAGATGGGTATGTGGAGAAGACATCAAAGATATCAAAAATATCGAAGGAAATTCTAACATTGAGATGTCAAGCCAAGCTGAATTATATAATAAATAATAGATGTGTTTTCGTTGGTATTAATGTTGTATGTCAGAATCAATTCTAAATCGATGTAAGTTGCGACAAAATTTTAAAATAAATTTAAGTAATATCGTATTTTCGCGTAATAACGCTCATGAGCGTTATTTAGAATAATGGCTCGAATTAAGCTTAATTTTGGCCAAAATTTGAAATTACCCCTGCGCGTTATTTCGCAAAAATACGGTAGGTGAATTAAAAATTCTATTTATATATATGGAATTAGAATTACTCAATCAGCGATTAATCAATTTGTTTTATTAAAGAATAACCGACATTTTCACTGAAAACTCGTTCATTAAAGAATAACCGAATCTTTAAAAAATTAAATCAAACTTTTAGATATAATCGAATACAAGTTATATCATGTATTGAATTGAGTGTAGGTCACGCATTTTTAAATTACGTACAGTACAGTGCGATTGAAAATTTTCCTTTAAAGCCAAAGTTGTGTTAATAATCTGAGTATAAAAATGATATTAGTGTTTGTTGTTAATTATCGAAGCCGCTAATATAAGTGATCAAAATGAATATTATCGTGATCAAAAACGTTTAAGAATCTTCATAATGAGCATAATTATTAAATTAAAATTGCTTTATATATTTTCTTATAGCTGGATTACAAGTCACTTTGAAAATTAGATATAATGATATATAACTAATTATTTAAATTTTCATATGCTTTCCGTAACTAATCATTAACTTATTAATCTCTAAAACTGATATTACAGAAGTTAACCTTACGTTTTCATCGAACATATAGATAAATATAATTGTTATGCATTTGCATTAAAAATTTTTTTATTAATATTGTAAATTAATAGATTTATCAGAGCAACTTTGAAATTGCTTGTAAATATAAAGTGGCACTCCGAAACCAAATGGATCGTTTCCCTCATAATGTTCGATGCTGCATCTAATTATCCCTTAAACCGTCAGGTTTAGCATGCAAATTTGCACGCTAAAATTTTTGGACAAAAATTTAACTCAAAATTTTTTAATAAAATTTCTAATTTAATTATTTATAGTGACTTCCAAAGACATGGTGCACTTCATAGTTACAGCATGGATCACTTCATGTGGCCTGAACAGGAGTACAAATTCACATAATGGCTAAAAAGTATGCTATTTTACCCAGTGTTGTTATTTGGACATATAAACTGTCAGATTTGAACCAATTGAACTTAAGGCTAGGGCTAAATGGACTTAAGGCTAAGGCTAAAAAAAAGTATTGGATTTAAGGCTAGTAACAACACTAATTTTACCTATACTTTTGAGCCATCTTATCTTTTTAATATTATTTTAAAAAACTGATTATATAAAGTTGGTTATGAAGAATTCTTGAATAACTTTAATGTTATATTATATAAGGTATCTGTATATAATGATTGTAAAGAATTTTTATAAGTATTATATGTAAATTTCTTTTTTAGTATTAAATTTAAACATCAAAGTTTTATTAATCAATATTAAAAACTAATTTTAAAATACCATTGGAGAAATTTCATAGAATAGAAATTATATAATAACCAACTTGTAGTATACTTTTAATTTAGTTTAAAAAATAAAAGGGCAAAACTTAATAAAATTTGGAGTAATTGAACAAAAATAGAGCAAAAAACATTTTAGTATTTAAATTTATATACTATAGTTTAAGAGATAGTCTTAATTAATTAAAATTTAATCCTGGCGAAGAACCCAAAGAAATCTACTCGCTTTCTAGGAGTTTGGATATCAACAAAAAATCAAAAAAGATCAGATATTCACAAAGCAAGAAAAGAGGTAGCCAAGATAACAGGTCTCTTTAAGTTCAAAAAAATGTCTCTTAGTTATATTATATATGTAAACAACATCGTACTCGTGCCAATTTTAGAGTACAGAATTATGATATCTTGCTTAACCAGAGCCCAATGTAATAGAATACACTAGTCTATAGTGTGTCTGACTAAATGGAAGTTGTCAATGCCCTCGACAGCAGCAAATGCAATTCCAAAACACCCAGAAATAGCGAATTTTAAAAGTTTGTAGAATAGACATATAGAACATCACTTCTCAGAACTATTGGTAAGAATAAATGCAGAAGAGCCTGTGGAAAAGTTTACACTAATAAGGCTAAAGCAAGGACAATTAAAAATAAGCACAACCAAATGTATTCTAACAAACCAAGTACTACTAGAGAAACGTGAGATTAAATCAAAAAACCTGGGTTTGCAGATCTTATAGCAAGCAAAGATGCTAGGCTTCTCAATAGGAGAAAATGATTTTACAAAAAGCTGGGATTTTGAGCCTCTACTAGGAGTAAACGATCTTGAAGTAGCTAAGATTCTAGAGAGAAGTAATCTTTTATATAAAGAGTCAAATGCAAGCAAAATGAGTTTTTTTATCTATCACAGCTTATAGCAGAAGATGGCAAGTTAATATATACATGGCAACAAATTAAGTGGTTGTACAATACAGGCAAGAGAGGAAGAAAAGCGAAATGGTTTAACAACCTAGAAGAAGAAATGATTATAAACCCGCTATCGAGAGAAGTCAAGCCAGAGTTTAGAATTGCACCTTGCAACAGAAACAACCTCAAATTAGTTGTAAAAAAAGTTAAAGAAAATAAAAGAACAAAAAAGTAGGTTTTGTGAAAAGACAAAAGAAACGCAAATATCAGATTTGGAAAAGTTAAGAAAAAGAAAAACAAGTATGTAAAGGTTGAAAACTATAGTGAGTTAGCAGAAGCAAACTCAAATCTTGAACAAAATTCTCTAGAGTATATTAGTAGACCAGAAACATTAATAGTTAAACAAAAAGAGTTAAGAGACATTTCAAACTTTGTACAAAAAACTGAAAAAGGTGCAAAACTAATCCTCAACACAAACACTCTTGGAAAAGTACTAGAGAAAAAGAAGGAAAAAATTGTAGTATCTCTCAAAGAGTTACAAAGTGTAAAAAGACAAAACATACCGATAATAGAGATGGAAAGCAGAGAAAAACTATTAATAGATAGAGTAGTTTTAGACAAAGAATTAAGAAATAGGTTAGTCAGAGTTTTAGAGCAAAATAGAGAATTAGATAGTCTTTTGTTTTATACAGATAGCTTACTCGGGATGTCAAAAAATGATTCGAAAATGCAAATGAGCTGTGGAATAATCCAAATAAATAAGGGTGATCAAATCATCCATCAAATAGCATGTGCAACTGAAAAGTGGTTTTTTAATCAGAGCTGAGTTGTGATCCTCATTGTCTTATTAGCAGCACCAAAAGAGAAAGAGGTGAAAATCAGAACAGATAGTAAAGCAGCAATTTTAGCAATTAAAAAAAGTCTAGAGTCAAATAAAACAAGACAATGGCTAAAGATTAAAAATAGCAGCCTTATCGCAATGATAACAGAAGTGGTTTAGACAAAACAGCTAAAGCTGCACCTCACAAAAGTCAAAAGATATTCAGGCAATTTTTTTAATGATCTGGCAGATCTCAAAGCCAGAGAAGGTGCAACCAGTTCAGAATTTTTAACCCCAGTATCGCTAAGTTCAAAGAGATACAAATTAAGACTAAAATAGGAAAATGAACTAGTTGAAAAGCCACTACAATCTTTTACCAAAATGCTTAGAAAGTATTAAACAGAGCAAAATGGATATTTGCATACAGTACTCAAAATACTACACATAGAGAAAGAAAGACTCATCAGTGCTGGTCAATATTCTATGAACTTTTAAAAAGTGGAATTAAGCAACAAAATCATACATTCATATCAAATAATATTCAGCTCTT